GAAAAATAATTTTACATTGTTGTTTATTCATAGTTGAACTTTGATTACTAGATAAAATTGAATCCGATTGAAGTGCTTCCATAACTTCAAAATCACTTTTTTTAACTGTTACTACATTATTACGACCATTATGACCATCTTCTTTTGATGGCTAAAAGTAAGCAAGAAAAAAAAAATTATTTATTTAAGTGAAACAATGAAAAAACGAAAAAAAAAATGTAGATATATTTTTTATACTTCATTTATATCATATTCCCAACGGCCATCAATATGAAATTTATATTCATGTTCACCTTCAGGTAATTCCAAAATAGCAACAAAATCATTATCACTAAAAAAAAAAAAAGAAAGGCATATCTTTATTAAAATAAAATTTTTATTTCGAACAAAAATAAAAACCTTTTAACCATTGGTATTGTTTCTTTCCAATTTGTAAATGAACCAATTAATAAAGCTTCTTTATCTTTTGGTAATGCTGGATATTTAAATACAACAGGAATTGTTTTTTTTTCCTGTTGCATTTCTTCATGAACAGCTTGATGAGTATGATGATGCATATGACGTTGATTACGAATACGTATTGGTAAACTTGAATCATGTCGTGGTGTTAGCTAAATATGATTAATAAAATATTTAATTAATCTTTTCAATTTTATTTACTCGATCATCAATTGATGATACATAACTACTTCCACTGGAATCATGATGATCAAGTGTTACATATCGACCATCTTCACCATCTCGTTCATATCGTGTATATGTATCACTACGGGTACGACCTGTTTGTTGATTACCCATTAACTAAAATATATAAATAAAAAAAATTTTTGTTTTTCTCTTTGTTCTTAAAAAAGCTATTCGAGTAACGTACGAGTTAATCAAATTGTTAAATGTGCAAATAAGACAGAATTTCTAAAATAAACAAAAAGATTTTTTTTTTCTGTCGCTTTCTTCAATAATAAGAAAAAGAAAAGAAGTTTTTTTTGTTTTTTTTTTCTTTCGTAATACGTTTACGCGTGTGTGTATATGTATATGTATATATATAATACAAAAAGAAAGAAAAAAAAGAAAAACGAAAACACTCTTACGTCGTGCTCACACATTCATTTTTTTTTTCTATACATGCAAACAAAAATTGCAAATAGAATAATCACTATGAATCTTTGTTCAATGAAAAATAGTTAGTACAAAACAACGAGTAGAGTATAGAAATCTGTTTTATATATATATACAACACACAGAGAGAGAAAGATAAAGGAGAAAAACCAAACAAACTGTACATAAACACAGAAAAAAACATGACATCAACCACAAAATGTGCAAGTAAATCCTCCGAGTATTTTAATTAATGTTGGTAATTGTATTGATTCATCAACAGTTGTATCATTTATATAAAAATTACATAATGAACAACGTTTTGCACGATCTTGTATAAATATAGGTAGAAATGTTTTATTACAACGTTGAAAATCATGTCCATTTGAACAAGTTATATCAAAAAATGTTCGTATATGTAATGTTTGTCCACATAATTGACAATGAAGATATTTTTGATCACATGTTGATAAATATTGACTATTTATTTGTGTTTGTGTTATTGTACCATTTGATATTGTTATTGGTGTTGTTGTCATATTTGGATTAGCCATAGCAAGTAATGAACTAAATTGTGCTGTTAAATTTATATTTGTATTACCATTATTTGGATTTGTTACATTTGCAGATGCTTGTAATTGTTGTGTTGAATATTGTAATAATTGTTCACACCAATAAAGTATAGATTTTTCAATTGATGTTAATTGTATTTGTTGATCATTTTGTACATAATCATATAATTTTTTAATTAAATCAATTGATATCATTTGTGCAAAAACATCAGCTAAAAATAACATATATGGTGCTTGTCTTAAACCATTACCAAGACCACTATTATGATATGATAATAATAGACGACATAATGAATGTACTTTTTTTAATAAACTAACACTTGCTTGATCAGCACAATCAGCAACAGACATAATTAAATCTGTTAATGCATTTGATTTATCTGAATAAAGTAAAACACGTAATGCAGCTAAAACATCATTTAAACGAAATGATGGTAATGGATTTGAAAGAAAAAATGTTATTGTTGATGGTACATCTTTTAATGAATATACTGATAATGTTAATATAGCTTCACTACGTTTCATTGTTAATACAGTACAATGTGTTGGTGTTATACCAGCTGCTTGACATTCACTACCTAAAATAGAAGATTTTTTTT